CTAAGGCACGAGCAGTTCTACTCATTATTACTTTTTGTATAGATATTAATAGGAATTTCCAGGATAAATCATGAGATTAAAAAAAAGTCATTTAAATCCCTACTATTCAGGAGGCTGAGGCAGGATTTTTTGAACCCAGGAGTTAAAGGCCAGTCTGGGCAACATAATGAGATTCCCATCTAAAAAAAGTTTTTTGCTTTGAATATTTTAGTACTACAACGATGTTTGTTATCAAGCATTTATATAAAGAATCTTCTTTTAATGATTAATTTGTACTCACGCTAGTCAGATACAAACAAAACACTAAGTCCAGCTACGTGGATGAATTTATTTGTAAGACAAAAGTACAATTCAGTCTTCCTGTTTGCAATCTAGTATTTCTGTTTACAGGTTAGTCTATAATTTGAGTTTATTAATTTGAAATTTGTACTTTTGTGATTTGTTTTACTGACATCTCATCCAGCAGGTATCACATGTACAAATGTCAAAAGACAAAATTACTGCAAATTGGTTATAGATCTAATTGGTTTATTTTAAAGTATTTTTTAGTTGTAGATGGACACAACACCTTTATCTATCTATCTATCTATCTATCTATCTATCTATCTATCTATTTATTTATTATGTTGTGCTGAGGATCAAACCCAGTGCCTCACACATGCTAGGCAAGTGCTCTACCACTGAGCCATAACTCCAGCCCCTCTATAAAATAGAATAAAAGCTCCTGTTGGGCAGCAGCAGAATTGTAAATTTTGTAACATGGGAACAAGGAAACAGAACAGTAGAAAAGAAAAAAACCTGAGAAAAGAAAAAAGTAACATTAAGTTACTTTTTTTGTAAGGTTAACCCTTAAAAATTTAACATCAGGTATTTCCTTATCTTATAAGCTAAAACTGGCTTGTTTAGGAATTTGATTATTCTCTTTCTCCTGACTTCTCAAGTCAGATTAAAAAAAATGCATTTTGACTTGGTGACATGAACTTTCATCTTGAGTAACTCCATTTTGGTTGGTCTGTTGAACTTATTGCAGGAACTCAGTCCCAACTAACAGCAGCCTACAAATTTTCTTTAAACACAAGTCTCTGAAAACTATTGTGTGCAATTTCTACTGTTTTTCTATAAGACGATTTCAGTGGAGTTTTTATTTCTAGTTTCAATAGTTATAGCAAAACAACTGTCTTTTAAAGAGCTCACTGTGGCTATTTTTTAAATATTAAAAATATTAAATTTCTTTTTCTTTACACTGATTGGTCCCTTATTCTTCCTGTTTTTATTTCCATGTGGCTACATGGAAACTGGGATTTCAAAATAATTTCTTGGACGGTAATAAAGCTACAGAGATAAAAGCATGTCTGAATAAATATGGTTTTTAAGAGCACAGAAGTGCTGAAAACAAAATGAATTAGTCTTTGAAAGTGTACGTTTAGACAGCATGGCACTGGTTAGCCACTGCAGGATGGTAGCGCAGCGGCTGGACAAGTAAGTATTAAGCAAGCTGCAGTCCCCATAGCTGCAGTCCCCATTGTGGGCCCACAGGAGCTGCAGCTGGACGACGTGAAGTGGATCAACTTGGAGGAGCTATACTGTGGCAGCAAGGCAGACATGCCTGATGAGGTTAATATCAATGAGTTATTAGAATTGGAGAATGAACAGGAAAGAAGCCAGAATATCCAGGGACTCCTGAAGCAAAAAATGCAGGAATCCTATACAAGATTCTGTTCAAGAGCTGCTGGCCAAGCTGTGGGGCCTCCACAAGCAGTCTGGCCTCTGCCATCTCAGACCCTCAGATGAGCCCCTCAGGACAGGTTCAGACTATACCCCATGACCCTTTCTCACCTCTGACTCCCGTGCTCTCTCCAATATTGCCCAGTTTGCCCAACTTGTATTTAATGGTTCTGTAACAATAACTCCATGTTCCTGTTTTTCCTCTCTGTGGTTACCTGGGCTTCTCTGTGGCTCCTACCCACAACCTCCCTCTCTCCTGTTGGGGTCTTGTGTCCCAGTACAGCTCCTGGCAACAGATGGAGGATTGCTCCTGTCCTGAGAACCTGAGAACAGCCATGGTAACAGAGGGGTACCTCAGGACTCATCCTGTGCTCACCAACCCCCCTTGCCTGGGCCCAGTCCCAGCCAGCAGGGTCCCTGTAGGCTGGAGGCGCCCAGGGATGCTGGGGGCAATGACAGCCTCGACTTCCGGGCCAGGGGAGGTACACATGACCCACTGTGGCCCATATCACCTCAACACAGGTGGTCAAAGAGCAAACGAGTCATTCATCCATGTCAAAAAAAAAAAAAGGACATATTTATTGGCTAAATTTACTACTTTAGAAACAAATAGAATATACAAATACATAATTATTCCATTAAATTTCCAAATATGACAATATCCTGCCGGGGTCCAGCCCTAGCGGGGTCCAGGGAATCCTGAAGGATGAGTGGCGTCGGTGAAAAGATGAACAGGAGTCGTTTCGTTGGAGCAATCTCCAGAGAGAGAGAGCTCTAATGCAGCTTTCTCTGGATCATCTTTTATTATAATTTTTCTCATCATTATAGATTCAGAATACATCATTGATTATACAGTTTCAAAACTTTGCCAAGACATAATGTTTCCTTAACCATAATTAGGGGTATAGAAAAGTGTAACATCAATTTACATTTTTCCAGGATGTGACTTTTTAGTTATCAATCATTAATAAAATGCGTCATTAATTCACATTTTTTTCAGATTTTCACAAAATGTACTATTTTCTTATTAACTAATGACAAACTATGTAACCAGACTCTAAGTCTCCTAACCTATCATTAACATTTAAGTTTTAAAGTACACCTGCACTTTTATTTCTAATCTAAAATTCCCATCTAAAAAAGTCCCTTTAAATCTTATACTTAAAATATCCTAAAGTTTATAAACCATTCTTAAAACATATCAGAAACCCATACAGCTAAAAACTCAAGAATTCTAAACCAAGAATCTAAATAGGATAATACTTCTAACATTATTCTAAAAATATGTCTTATAAAGCTACTTTAATTAATTCCTAAATTTATTCTCATAAAACTGGTTCAGCTGCTTTCTCAAAGAGTATCTTTGTTTCTCAGTCAAGGTACACTAGTTCTTATATCTTTATAATCTTTCTCAATAAAAAGTAAATTCTAAACATCAGTCCACTTTCCGCCAATATTAAATATGCTCATCATAAATCCCTATATGAAGTAAAAGAGGGTTTATAGAAATGAAAAGAATGTATCCTTATATGTCTTAACTTTCCTAAATGTATAACATAACTTTCCTTAATCAAGAATGAAACAACATACAGTGGGTTTTGTACAATGAGCATAATGATTAGGTTTTCTTAAAGGCCGGAAATATGGGCTTGGGTTCTAGTTGATATAATCAATGTGGTGCCTAAAATTCTCATGACCTTTCAGAAAATGATTGTCTATTATCAGTTTTGTCCTCAGTGTGCTGATATGGAAGAGCAGCTTTCTACTTTGTCCTTGATATGCTGAGGGGTAGTAGAACAGCTTTTAAGGCATGAACTACCTGTTATGTTCTAGCCATCTGAAATTTAATTTGGTTTGGCATTTAACATACTCATGCCTCCTGTGAGGAACATGAGCATGAAAATGAAAAGTCCCAATTACATAAAAAGGGGTCTCATGGTTTCGGTTTCCCACCAACCAGCATGGCTTTGCCAGCATTCATCCTCACTGTGACCTTGTCAAGGCAGTGGGAAAGTAGCTTTGCCAGTGAGAGGGGGATCACCTTCACCAATATCCCATATCCAGAAGTCTCAGAAACTTTCCAGTACTAGTCAAAGAATGAAAGAAATAGGCAACTAAAAGCTGGGCATTGTGGCATGCATCTGTAGTCCCAGCTACTTGAAGGCTGAGGCAGGAGGTTCTCTTGTACCTAGGAGTTTGAAGCCAGCCTGGACAACTTAGAAAGATTGTCTCTTAGAGAGAGAGAGAGAGAAGGAAGGAAAGAAAGGCAAAATGTGTTCTGTTATTAGTATGATGATAGCTTTGACTCTAAGACCGTAAGAGTCTCAGATTCACTCATGAGTTGCTAGAGCATGCTTTACTGTTCCTATACAGTAATGAAAATTAATAAGTCACTGCTGTGTGTAACATTATGGATGAACCCTACAAACACAGTATTTGATAAAAGAAGATGAGGGAAAAATTACAAACTGTATGATTCTTTTTATTGGAAATTCAGAAACAGACAAAAAATCAGTGTAAGTATAAGAATACAGGAAATTGTTTACCTTGAGTGAATAACAAGCCAACTCTGAGAGGCCCTAAGCAACTCAGTGAGACCCTGTCTCTTATAAAATACAAACAGGGGCTAGGGATGTGCCTCAGTGATTAAGCACCCCTGGGTTCAATCCCTGGTACCAAAAAAAGTATTGAAATTCTGTAACAAGGGGCTGGGGCTGGGGCTTAGTGGCAGAGTGCCGCGTCGCACATGTGAGGCACTGGGTTCAATCCTCAACACCACATATAAATAAACAAAATAAAGATATAAGAAAAAATATCAACGTTAAAACAAAAGAAAAAAGGAAGAAAAAGAAAAAGAAGTTATGTAACAAGGGCTGGGCTGTACCTTAGTGGTAGCCTAGCCATGTTAGGCAATGGTTCTGATCCTCTGCACAACGTAAAAACAAATAAAACAAATAAATCTATTGTATCCATTTACAACTAAAATTATCTAAAATAAATAAATAAATACATCTTTTAAAAAATTCTGTGACATTCTTAACTATCCTTTGAAAATGGGACATCCCAAAATTACTTGTGTCTAACAAATAGAATGCAGCTGAAGTGATACTTTGTGACTTCAAAGGCTAAGTCATAAAGGTAGTCAGCTTGTGCCTGGCATATGTTCACACCCTCCCTCCTGTATCTCTCCACATGTTTTGGAGGCTTGAGCTGCCATGTAAGAGGGTCTCAACAGACTTAGCTCTTCTAATCCCCAGCTTCTCATACTTTTCAAGCTAAGAACCAGACATGTGAGTGAGGAAGCTGTTGAAATGATTTGGCCTGACCACTATCTGACTACCACTGAAGAAACTCCAAGTAAGGAATGGCTGACTGAGCTCAAATCTGAAAGATAAGTTATTGGTACTGGTTTAATCCACTAAATTATAGTGGATTGTGTGTGTGTGTAAAATAAGATTGTGTGTATGTGTATAAAATATCTGTTATTAAATACTCCTGTGTGTGTGTGTGTGTGTGTGTGTGTATAAAATATCTACCAAATACTCCAGTAGATGTAGGGGTGAGGAAAATTATGGGACGTGTTAAGGAGTTATTGCAAATTTAAGGGTTTTAAATTATTACAGTTCTCAACAGTTTATTATCTTTGACTTGTTTTGCATTTCCCCCCCCTCAATCCTACTTCTTTAAATATATACTCAGCACGGGCTGGGGTTGTGGCTCAATGGTAGAGCACTTGCCTAGCACACATGAGGCACTGGATTTGATCCCTGTCACCACATTTAAAAAAAATAAAGTCAAGTCATTGTGTCCATCTGCACCTAATATATATATATTATATATATATATATATATACACACACACACACACACACACACACATACTCAGCAGTTGGCTATTGAATACTTATTAGTTATATCTTGATTTTCTATCCTTAAACAAGTGCATGAAGAGGGAACCTACAGAATGAAAGAAAAATTTTGCCACCTGCACCTCACATAGAGCATTAATCTCCAGGATCTATAAAGAACACAAAAACTTAACCCCCCCAAAATAAAAATAAAACAAATAATCCAAAAAATTGGCAAAGCAGCTGAACAGGTACTTCAAGAAGAATTACAAATGGTCAACAAATATATGAAAAAATTTTCATCTCTAGCAATTAGAGAAACGCAAATTAACTGAGATTCCATCTCACTCCAGTCAGAATGGCAATTATCAAGAATGTAAGTAACAATGTTGGCAAGGATGTGGAGAAAAAGGTATGCTCATACATTGCTAGTGGGACTATAAATTACTGTGAACACTCTGGAAAGCAGTGTGAAAATTCCTCAGAAAACTTAGAATGGAACCACCGTTTAACCCAGTTATCCTACTCCTCAGTATATAAGCAAGGACTTAAAATCAGCATACCACAGTAATGCAGCCACATCAATGTTTATAGCACCTCAATCCAAAATAGCTAAGCGATGTGCCCTTCAACAGATGAATGGATAAAGAAAATGTGATATATATACACAATGGAATATTATTCATTCATTAAAAAAAGAATGCTATATGACTTTCATCAATATATGGATGAAACTAGAGATTATCATACTAAGTGAAATAAATTAATCCCCAAATACCAAAGGTCGAATGATCTCTCTGAGATGCAGATGCTAACACACAACAATGGGGCAGGGCACAGGGAGAATAGTTCAATGGACTAGACAAAGGAGAATGAAGGGAAGGGAGGAGAGATTGGAATAGGAAAGACAATAGAATGAATCAGACATAACTTTCCTATGTTCACATTTGAATACATCATGTACAACCACAAGAATAAGATCCTAATAGGAATAAGTTATACTCCATGTAGGTATAAAATGTCAAAATACTTTCTACTGTCATGTATATTTAAAAAGAACAAATTTAAAAATTGAAGAGGGAGAATTAGCAATTAGGGCTTGGGTCATCTGGATCTGAGGAGAAGTTCTCAGAAGTTACTATATAATACATCTGGATTTCTTTAGGGAGAACCCAGTTACATGGCACACCAAGGTGCAAAAGAGTTTGAGAAATGCAGGTTTATAATGAGGAGATTTGTTCTCAACTATGTAAACATGAGTTCATTGATATTTTCAAAAAGGGAAGAACAGAAATTTGGGAACAACTTGCAGTTGCCACATAGACTTTGGGTTAGTGGGGAATATTAAACATACTATTGTGGATTCTCATTCAGTTAATCTCATACTATGATCAACATTCTTAGATTTTGATTTGGTTGGTCTAGAATGTTTCCTAAATATAACATAATTACATTCAGTGATTGATTTCAAAGCAGATCAAAATTTTAGGACTATTGCTGGGTACAGTGATGCATGCCATAATCCCAGTGACTCTGCAGGCAGGAGGATTGGGAGTTTAAAGCCAGCCTCAGCAACTTAGGCCCTAAGAATTTAGCAAGACTCTGTCTCAAAAAATAAAAAGGGCTGGGATTATAGCTCAGTGGTTGAGCACCCCTGATTCAATCCCTAGTACCAAAAAGCATTTTTTCAGCACTATTGAATTTATTACTCCCTTAATTAACTTAGTATATTTCTCTTGTATACAAAACTAGGAAATAAAATATATTTCTTTTCTTTCAGACTTGGCATCAAAAGCTGACCCCAAGAAGTTATCTCCAAAAAGGGACATTTATGAAATAGAATCATCCCCATGGGCTATTGTGGAAAATTTTATTCCTGAGGGATCCATTTTCAGGGATATTTGGGAATGCAAATGTCATTTTGAGCAAAAGGAGTGTTATTTCAGGCAATTTATGATGTACCATGAAAACGTGCCCATTTTTATTCAACATACTTTACTTACTCAAAATGGAAAGAAAATCTCTGAATGTGAAAAATGTAGAAAAAACTTCTATTATCATTTATTCTTTTGTCAACACAAAAATCATTCTAAAGAACTTTCTGAATGTAAAGAGTACACAGAAATTATTAATACCCCGTTCCTTATTAAACAACAGATAATTCAATATGGTAACCAATGCAATGGATGTAAGAAATGCTGGAAGACCTTTATTCATTGTTCACAACTTAAAAAACATTTGAGAATTAATAATGGTGAAAAACGCTATGAATGTAGAGAATGTGGAAAGGCTTTTAATTATGGCTCAGAACTAATGTTACATCAGAGAATTCACATTGGTGAGAAACCCTATGAATGTTAGGAATGTAGGAAGGCCTTTAGACAGAGATCACAACTGACTCAACATCAGAGACTTCATACTGGTGAGAAACCCTATGAATGTGAGCAATGTGAGAAAGCTTTTATTTGTGGCTTTCAACTTACTGAACATCTGCAATTCCATACTGGTGAGAATCCTTATGAATATAAAGAGTGTGGAAAGACTTTTAGGCATCGCTCACACCTTACCATACATCAAAGAATTCTTATGGGTGAGAAATCCTATGAATGCACGGAATGTGGGAAAGCCTTTAGCTATTACTCAAGCTACTCTCACCATCAGAAGATTAATTCTGGTCAGAAGCCTTATGAATATAGTGAATGTGGAAAGGCCTTTCATAATTGGCTTAAAACTTAACCTACATCAGAGAATTCATACTGGTGAGAAACCCTATGAGTGTAAGGAATGTGGGAAGACTTTTAGACAGTATTCACACCTCAAAAGACATTAACAAATTCATACTCATGAGAAACCCCATGAATGTATGATATGTGGTAAAACCTTTAGACTTCATTCACACCTTATTCAACATCAGAGAATTCACACTGGTGAAAAACCCTATGAATGTAAGGAATGTGGAAAGACCTTTAGCTATCACTCCAGCTTCTTGCATCATCAGAGAATGCATTCTGGAAAGAAACCTTATGAATGTGTCAAGGTCTTTAATCATGGCTTACAACTCAATCTACATCAGATACTTCATACTGGTGAGATACCAGTAAAGTTTCCTCTCCTCCCTCCACATCCAAGTTTCACTTCATAAAATTATTTTTGGAGAAAATACACCTTTTCCTCTCTAATTTCCATATAAGAGAAAATGTACGACCCTTGACCATCTGAAATGGGCATATTCCCTAAACTAATGTTCTTAAGTTCCATCCATTTTCCTGCAAATGATGTAATTAAAGTTTTCTTCATGGCTGAACATAACTCCCTTATGATATATACCATATTTTCTTTATCCAGTAAGCCATTGAAAGATTCCTAAGCTGGATCCATAGTTTGGCTATTGTACATTATGCTGCTATAAATATGGGTATGCATGTATCCTATAGTATGATAACTTTAATTCTTTAGGATAAATACAAGTTCTATTCCTAGTATTTTGAGGAGCTTCCACATTGATTTCCATAGTAGTTGTATTATCATCCCACAAGAGCTTCCTTTTTCTCCATATATCCTCTCCAGCATTTTTTTTTTTTTTTTGGTACTGGGGACCAAACCCAGAGGTGTTTTACCAGTGAGCCACATGCCCAAGCTTTTTTATTTTTTATTTGGAGGCATGGTCTTGCTAAGTTGCTTAGGACAGCCTGGAATTTGTGATCCTCCTGCCTCAACTTCCTGAATTGCTGGGATTACAAGTGTGTGTCACTGCACCTGGCCATTGTTTGTATTCTTGTTGGCTGCCATTCTGACTGGAGTGAGGTGAAATCACAGCGTAGTTTTGATTTTCATTTCCCTGATTGCTAACAGTGTTGAATCATTTTTCATATATTTGTTGGCCATTTTTATTTCTCCTTTTGAGAAGTTCTGTTCATTTATTAATTGGATTATTTGTTGGTATTAAGTATTTTTGTGTTCTTTATATATTCTGGATATCCTCTGTCAGAAAAGTAACTAGCAAAGATTTTCTCCAATTTTGTAGGCTCTCTCTTCACATTCTTTTTTTAAAAAAAATTTTTTTAGGGCTGGGGATGTGGCTCAAGCAGTAGCGCGCTCACCTGGCATGCATGTGGCCCGGGTTCAATCCTCAGCACCACATACAAACAAAGATGTTGTGTCCGCTGAGAACTAAAAAAAAAAAAAATATTAAAAATTCTCTCTCAAAAAAAATTTGTTAGTAGACCTTTTTGTTATTTATATGTGGTGCTGAGAATCAAACCCAGTGCCTTATGCATACAAAGCAAGCAATCTACCATTGAGCTACATCCCCAGCCCATCTTCACACACTTGTTTCCTTAGCTGGACAGAACCTCTTTAAATTGATGCCATTCCATTTATTAATTGGTATTTCCTGAGCTTCAGGGTCTTTATTGAGAAAGTCATTGTCTGTGCCTGTGTTGGAATGTTGCTCCTATATTTTCTTCCAGGAGTTGCATAGTTTCTGGTCTAATTTGTAGATCTTTGATCCATTTTGAGTTGATTTGTGCAAAATGCGATTTATTCTTCTACATATGGATAACCAGTTTTCTAAGCACTATTTGTATAAAAGGCTGTCTTTTCTCCAGTGTGTTATTGACACTTTTGCCAAGAATCAGATGATTGTATCTATGTGGGTTTGTCTCTGTATCTTCTATTTTGTACCACTGGTATATGTGCCTTTTTCAAATCTCTCTCTCTCTCTCTCTCTCTCTCTCTCTCTCTATATATATATATATATATATATATATATATATATATATATATATATATTCAGTAGAATATATATATTACACTAGAATATATATATTACACTAGAATGCATTTTGACACATCATACATAAATGGAGTATGACTTCTTATTCTTCTGGTATTATATGATATAGAGTTGCACCAGTCATGTAATCATATAGGCACATGGTGTAATAATGTCCAATTCATTCTATTATCATTCTTACCCCCATACCCCCTCCCCTCCCTTCATTCCCCTCTGTCTAATCCAAAGTACCTTTATTCTCCCCTAGCCCCCCTTATTGTGAATTAGCATCTATGTGTCTGTTTTTATGCCAGTATCATGCACTTTTTGTTACTATAGCTTTGTAGTATAATTGGAAGTCAGGTATTGTGATGCCCCCAGCATTGCTTATTTGGCTTAGAGTTACTTTGGCTATTCTGGGTCTTTCACTTTTCCAAATGAATTTTAGGACTGTTTTTTCTTAGTTCTAATGAAGAATGTCATTTGGTATTTTGATCGGGTTTGCTTTTGATCTGTATACTGCTTTTGGTGGTATGGCCATTTTAATGACATTAATCCTGCCTCCATGAAAATGGGAGGTCTTTCCATCTTGTGTCTTCAATGTTCTTACTTTTTCTTCAATGGTCTGTTTTTTTTTTCTTCAATGTTCTGTACTTTTCATTATAGAGGTATTTAAATTCCTTGGTTATATTTATTCCTGGATTTTTTGAAGCTTCTGTGAATGGGGTTGTTATTCTGTTATCTTTCTCAGAAGATTTATTATTGGTATTTGGAAAGTTATTGATTTTTGTATGCTTATGTTGTAGCCTTCTAGTTTGTTAAATTTGTTTATTAGCTGTAGCAGTCTTTTATAAAAAATATTATTTCTAGTTGTAGAGGGATGCACAATCTTTATTATTTTTTTATGTGTGCTGAGGATCGAACCAGTGTCTCACACATGCTAGGCAAGTGCTCTGCCACTGAGCTACAGCCTCAGCCCCTCTAGCATTTTTTTTGCTGGACCTTTGGAGTATAGGATCATATCTTGTATCATATCATTTCAAAGTGATAATTTGACTTCTTCCTTTCTCATTTTTATCCCATTTATTATTATATTATTAGGCAACCTTCTCTTGCCTAATTTCTCAGGCTGGAATTCTTAATACTGTGTTAAATAGGACTGGCAATAGACATCATTGACTTGTTCTAGATTTTAAAGGAAACGCTTTCAATATTTCACATTCAATATGATGTTTGTTCTGGGTTTTTCATATATACCCCTTATGATGTTGAGGTGGGTTCTTTCTATCCCTAGTTTCTTCACTGTTTTTATCATGAATGGGTTTTAAAGTTTGTTGAAGGCATTCTCTACAACCATTAAGATGATTAAGTCATTTTTACCTTAATTCTGTTTAAATTATGAATTGCATTTATTGATTTTCAGGTGTTAAACCATCCTTGCATCCTATAACCAACTTGGACATGATGTGAAATTTTCTTAAAACGTTGTTTAATACAAGTTACTAACATTTTTTGAAGGATTTTTGCATTTAAGTTCATCAGTATTACTAGTCTGTATTTTCTTTCCTTCATATGTCCTTATCTGGTTTTGGAATGAGTGTGATATTGACTTCATAGTAATCAATTTGGACGTTTTCATCTTCTATTTCATGGAATAATTTGAGGAGCATTGGTATTAGTTATTATTTAATGATCTGGTAGAATTCAGCTGAGAATCCATTCGGTCCTGTACTTTTCTTTCTTGGAATTTTTTTATTACTGCTTATCTGCTTTATATCTAATTGCTAGTTGTTTGTATGTTCTCTTGATTAAATTTTGGCAGGTTATATGTATGTATAAATATATCTATTTCTTCTAGGTTTTCCAATTTATTGAAGTATAAGAGTGTAAGTTTTCAAAATAGTCCCTAATGATCCTCTGGATTTCAATGATGTCTGTTGTGTTTTCTCCTTTTTAATCTCTGATTTTATTAATTTGGGTCTTCTCTCTTTTTCTTTGGTTATTTTGGCTTAGGGTTTGTCAATTTTATTTGCTTTATCTTCATAAAGAACCAACCCCTTTTTTAATTAATTCTTTGGTTTTGTTTGTTTGTTTTTGTCAGTTTCGGTGATTTCAACTCTGGTCTTAATTATTTCCTTCCACTGGTTTTGGATTGGTTTGTCTTTTTTTTAATATTTATTTTTTAGGTGTAGATGGATACAACACAATGCTTTTATTTTTATGTGGTGCTGGGTCCCACCTGTGCTAGGCAAGCGCTGTACTGCTGAGCCACAATCCCAGCCCCTGGTTTGTCTTTTTCAAAGACCTTGAGATGCATCATAAAGCTGCTTATTTATGATCTTTCTTATTTTCTTTCATAGGCACTCATAGCTATGAACTTTCCTCTTACTTGCCTTTGTGGTGTCCCAGAGGCTCTGGTATGCTGTATCACTATTCTCATTTGATTCTAAGACGTTTTAATTTCTCTCCTGTTTTATTCTGTTGCCCATCATCATTCTAAATGGTATTGTTTGCAGCTGGGATTGTGGCTCAGAAGTACTCGCCTAGCATTCATGAGGCATTGGGTTTGATCCTCAGCACCACATAAAAATAAATAAAAAAATAAAGGCATTATGACCACCTACAAAAAGGGGGGAGGATTGTTCAGTATCCATGCATTTAGTTTCTGTAGGTTAGTTTGTGTTATTTTCCAATTTCATTCCATTATGAAATCAACCTTTTGTATTTGCTAAGTGAAAGAACGAACAAGGCTCGTCATCAGAGAAAATGCCCATTTATTGAGGAACAGCTCTGCATATTTATAGAGCTGGGGGTGGTTTGACAGTTATGACAGTTTTATGGTTGAATGGTTTGACAGTTGGCATGGGGTGCTTTCTGATTGGTGGGTAAGGATCATGTGAGCCAGCAGGGCTAGTCTGATTGGTGGGTAAGGATCATGTGAGCCAGCAGGGCTCACCGTTGGACTGCTCTTCTCAGGGGATGGGGAAATTAGTCTTTGGGTGGGGGGACTCACAACACTAAGAGTTGCTTTATGGCCTAAAACATGGTCTGTTTTGGAGAAGTTTCCATGAATCACTGAGAAGCAAGCTTATTCAGTTGTTGTTGGATGAAATATTCTAAAAATGTCTGGTAAGCCCATTTGATTTGCAATATTTTTCAGGTCAAAAGAATCTTTACTGAGTATGTTTTGATGACATATGTATTGGTGGGAGAGGTGTGTTGAAATCACTCAGTATTAATGTAGCAGGGCATATCTGAAATTTTAATTGAAGTAATTTATCTTTTATCTAATTAAATGCATCAACATTTAGGGCATAAATATTTACTGTCATTCTATTTTCTTGTTGGATTGTTCCTTTTAGCAGTATAAGTGACTTTCCTTGTCTCTTCTGATTTTAATTGAAGTCTGCTTTGTTGGATATGAGAGTAGCTACACCTGCTTGTTTTGGGAGTCCTTTCACATGATATACCAATTTCCATCCTTTGACCTTTAGCTTGTGGCTGTCTTTGCCTATAATGTGAGTCTCTTGCAAAAAGCATATAGTCTTTTTCTTTGTTTTTTAATCAATTCTGCTAGCCAATGTCTTTTAATTAGAGAGTTGAGACCAATAACATTCAGTGTTATTATAGAGATGTTTATTAATTCCTGCCATTGTTATTTATTCCTAATATTTAATTTGATTCTAAATTAGCTATACTGCAAATGAGATTTGTTCATTTGTGAGCTCTGGGGTTTATTTTATATTTTTTCTGTGTGGAGTATTTTCTGTAGTACCAACTTAAGTCATGAAAATTCCACGCTTGTTCTTTATGTTAGGCATTTTAATTATAATGTGTCATGGAGAGGTTCTTTTTTGATCTTATCTGTTTGGGGTTATGAATGCCTCTTATATCTAATATCCATCTCATTCTCAAGGTTTGGAAATTATTATTTCCCTTAAGAGGTTATTGATTCCAACAGTTTGTATTTTGCAATCCTCTTCAATTCCAGTGATTTTTAAATTTTGTCTTTTAATGTGTTCCCAGAGTTCTTGTAAACTCTGGTCATGGTTTACTTATTTTCTTTAATATTGTCTGAATGTTCAAGGCTTGTCATTCTGTTTTCCAGCTCAGATTCTGTATTCAGCATGGTTTACTCTATTAGATTGTCACCTGATCGTTTTATTTATTGTGTCGTTCATTTCCAATATTTCTTTGGTTCTATTTGAATATCTCTATTTCCTTATAGAATTTATCTTTCATATTCTGTACTGACTTTCTTAATTCATTCAGTTGTTTTTCTGTATTCTCTTAGATTCATTGATCATTTTAATAATATTTTTTGATTTATTTATCTTTTATCCATTTCAATATCTTTGTAGTCA